GACTGTCTTGGTCCCGGTGGGTCGGGGGGTTGTGGGGGGGGCCGCCTGTCCTAGTGGTTGTGGGTCAGGCGGGTCGTCGGAAGAACCATGGCGTGTTTAGAAAGACACAGAAATATACGTCACGACTCTTCCGCCGACCCAGTAGGAACCCACTGAGCCCGAATCTCGAGGGTCAAGGGGGCGCCATGAAGGGCACCTCCAGTGTTGCTCAAGGCTTGGGGATGAACCTGAGCAGAGGAAGATGTACTCTGCTCTTTTGCAGGAGGCTCGATACCATAACTGCGTCCGTGTCCCCAGGTTAACTTAGAGCTCAGATGCAATCCCAGTACAGTCACCAGCAGGCTTTTTTCTGGAATTAGACAAAACGTGTTCTGAACTTGATGTGGAGAATTGAACATGACTAGGCAGGAGATCCTGCGTAGGAAGATGAGTGGCGGCCTGAACGCACTGCACACCAGTTGACGCGGGAGCCTCGGTATCCAGCGTGGCTCACACGTGCCCAGACAGACCCCGAACACGGCAGGACAGACCCCATGGGGTCAATGTCTCCGATCGGTGGGATCATGACAACCTCTTTCCTTTTAGCAGTCAGTGCTAGGGTAGGGAGACACGAGTGTACCCGGAACACCCGCGTTAACCCCAACAAGCAGAGTCCTGAAGAATGGGATGCACACGGCCCTCTACAGGCCGAGGCGGGCACCCTCAGCCGTTGCTCAGGGAAGAGGGCATATGCAGGGCGTGGCCAGGCTGGTCTTTCGCTCAGGAAAGGCGTGGCTGCGTGTGTGCTCCCATTTACGTAGCTCACGTGAGGACGAAAAAGGAGAGGGAGCTTAGAAATGGGTAAGCACTGTGCCGCGGGGTGGGCGAGGGAGAGGCCTCACTCTGCCTTCCTCTGGCCTGTCGGGCTGACCCTGAGTATACTACAGACAGACCACATGCTGGGGAGCAGTGAGGGCAGAGACGTCCTAGCACTCGTGACTCTCGCATGGACATAAACCATACCGACGCGGGCACGCGGAACACGTGGCCGACTGAGGGCTTCGTAGCTATCTAAGGCAATGCTCCGCTTTTGGAAAATAAATCACACACGTATCCATGTGTTTCTTAATACCAGGCCTTGCTTCCGGAGTGGGGAATCGTTTGAGCTTCAGCCTGAGCAGGAACATGGGGCTTTACCTGCCCCGTGGACGTGTTGCTGAGTCACAGAGAATGGGGAGCTCCATGCCCAGTAAACGGAAGTCCGTGTTCTGGTTCAGTTGTCCCGGACACGGCTAGTTTTATGGCCCCTCACCAAAGTTAGGGACATGGGTGTACAGGGGCTTTTAGGTGGCTCAGGCACCGGATTCCAACATAGCCAACCACAGTTTGAGTCCTGGACTTGGCAGCTTGAAAATTATGCGGGCACATGTGCATGCGTGCCCAAACCCTGGGAGGAGGAGGGACTGCAGTGTGGCCATCTACACACACTCCCGGGGGTGTGCTCTCTGGTGAGCGTACATGCCCTACAGGAAAAAAATATAGAAATAAAAACCTGGGCAGCTTCCCGACAGTTCCGCAACCCCCATCGGGGGGCAGAGCAGCACCCTGGCCACCCTGCCCACTCTGAGGCTGGCTCTGGAGCAGTTCTCTCTTGCGGGGAACTTTCTGACCACTGGGCACGACTGCGTCCTCCTCCATAACAGAGAGATGGATCGGGAATGTGGCCCTGCACCGCGTGATTCGTGGTCACAGCGGACATGCACGGCCACGTGTTCCTTGGTGACACTGCTCAGGGCCTGCACCGTCCCCATGCCTGTCCGCCTCGTGTGCGGGTGTGGGCTCGCCAGTCTGCACTCAGCTGTCTTCCTGCCTCCCCAGAACGGAAGCTCATCCCCTGCACTGAGGGTGGGGCAGGGCCTCCTGGTGGCTTTGTCAGCCTACACAGAGGAGGGGCATGGCTGGGCCTCTGCCGGGCTCCTCCTGACCTCTGCTCCCAGGGGTCTGTTCACACCACAGCTCTACGACCGCAGAGATGCGTGCTGGCACCTCTCTTTCCGTTTGTCCTTCTCGTCCTCACCGCCCTTTCCCCACTTTCAAAATACAAACCTCTGAACCCTGGAGACACGAGGCCATCAGAGGCGGGTCTGCTTACACACCAGGGAAACTGCTCACGTTCCCTCCCTCCGCCTTTTCACTCTGGCCTTAATATGTCACCACTGCAGCTTGATCTGGGGACAGACGCGCCAGCCGAGCGGGCCGTCAGAAGGCAGCAGCTCGGCGGGTTCCTGCTCCTGCCGCAGCCTGGCCCTGCAGCGTCTGCTGTTGGCTGAGCTCCGTGGCTTTGTAGTTTAAAGCCTGTTTCCTTTTCCCATTTAATGAGGCCCTCGGCCTGGGTGTGCTCATGATTCAGGAGAGCGAGCAGGCGCTGAGACCTGGCCCACTCCCTTCACAGATCACGCGGCTCCCAGCGCGGTGTGTGGGGGTGGCGGGTGTGTTGGCTCAGTGACAATCCAAGTGTCTCACAAAGCAGGACACAGGTAGCACCTGCTGAGCCACGAGAGCGAGGCTTCCTGCGTGTGCAACAGTCTGTCAGATGCCACGTACCTCGGGTCGGAATTAGGGGACAGGAGTTAGTGACGCCACGTCCTGGGAGCTTCGCCGTCAATGCTTAGATCTGGCTCCTGGAATCTCCAGGGCAGAGACACGGCGAGGTGCCCACTGCTGACGGGGCCGAGACGTCAATGCATCTAGTCTATCAAACCCTTCGGTCAGCCCAGGGCCTCTCGGTGTTTTCCTTGAAAACCACCCACGTAGCCAGAGCCTGCGCCTGTGGCTTCCCGACCCCCCATGCTCCATCTCGCCGGATGCCCGTTTCTGCAGGGCTTGTCCTCACCGTGTACCGATGTGAGGAAGAGGCACCCGGTGGCACCGCCCCCCGAGATGTACCGCCAGGTC